TCCCTAGTCCCTAGACCCTACCCATTAGCTACTCGTATTATAGATCTGATTGGATAGGTGTAAGCAACATGGTGGAAGTAATTTTACTTTAAAGGGGCAGTGCAGTCAAAACGTGATTTTTCCAGTGTTTTATATATATTTCCACACTATGAGGTCTCTGGTTTTCCTTACTCATGGTGTCCTCTGGTTCCTGCCCCCTAGTCTCAGCTTAACTCCCTTACACCCATATATACACAGCCTTTACCCTGCTTTTACCATAAATATAATGTACCACATCTGAACAGCATGTGAAATGGACTGCATGTGTTCGCCACAATTTATTGACGTGAAAAGAATATAAAACCAAACCAAAGCTTCCCCCCTAGCCTCCTCTCCTTCCCTCTCCTCTCCTCTCCTCTTTCCTCTCCTGTCATCCCTCACTTTCAGGCGGGCATCCGCTGCCCTCTCATGCCCTTTGATCCAGCCGTTGGCTTTGGCACTAGAGGGAACGCACAGGGCTCACTTACTGCCAGCTGTACAGTAGTACACCACCCTTCAGCTCTCACATCAGAGAGAGAGAGAGAGAGAGAGTGTGTATTTCGGAGCCACACAACGACCCGTGTTTTAACACATTGTCCTTGGCAGACTCACTCCCAGCCCTGGTTTTGGAATAAAAGCTGAAACAAAAAACAAGTCAAATAAAAAAAGTGAAACAATATTTACTCAGCAATAATTTTGTGTGGAATTTTTCTGGATGATAATTTGAAAAAGGCCTCTTTCACTGCTACAATGGCTCCTTTGAGTGGCGCATGCAGCTTCAGCAGCGTCGGGGTTGGCCCCTCGCCAGAGGCCAGGTCTCTGTTAAAGCCAAGGGAAAGAAAAGAGGCCTGTTTTACAGAAGGAAAAGAGAGAAACAGACATGCTCTCCCTGTGTTTCTCTCTCTCTATGTATATATCTATATCTCTCGCTCTCTCTCTCTGTTTCTATCTCTTTCTTTCTCTCTCTCTCCCTCTCTCTTTTTCTTTCCCGGTCTCTCTCTCCCTTTCTTATGTTCTTTGTCTCATATCCACACAGGGTCCTCTTTAGCAGTCTCAGGTACTGGCTGTTACTGTCACCTACATGATTGTTTCAGACTCCAGTTGAACCTGGGTTAACTCTGTGAGGCAGAATTATGTATCTATTTTCCAACTATATACTATGAGTGCTAAAAGTTAGCAAAACATATGAGGTGACAGAGAGGGGGAGGGAGAGAGAGAGAGACTGAGAGAGAGACGGCGAGAGACAAGAGAAGAAGAAAAAGTTTGAAAAACAGTGGCTTAACCTGCAGGGTGTGTGTTACTGGTTACTGGTTGGGTATACTTGGATGTTTTCGCTCAGAACAAATTGAAATAATAGGGGCCTTCATGATAGCAGTGGAGCTGTTTTCTTTGTTTGTGTTGTTAGTGCTGGGACTGAGCACAACAGCTAGCAGCTGGACGGCTGTAGCTGAGCCAAGCCGTGTGTCTACATACAGTCAGCCCCTGCCAAGCCGTGTGTCTACATACAGTCAGCCCCTGCCAAGCCGTGTGTCTACATACAGTCAGCCCCTGCCAAGCCGTGTGTCTACATACAGTCAGCCCCTGCCAAGCCTTTACCTGTAAACTCGTGTGTGGTCAGCGGTTAATATATTATGTACGCTAACAAACAATGCTACCCCATTAGCTCAGGGTCAGGGACTTTGCAAACTGGCTGCCAGACTTGACATCCTGACAGGTTTAATAACCGGCTCAATCATGCCTCCCTCTCTTCTGCTGGCCCCTTCTTCCCTCGTTTCCCGGAGTGATGGCTGAATGAAGGAGGTGAAGTTGATGGTAGACTTAATCTGTTGCTCCACTGCCAGTCAAATGTTCTACTTGGACAGAGAAAAACAGACATCTTAGAACAGGGCTCTCCAACCCTGTTCCTGGAGAGCTACCGTCCTGTAGGTTATTAACTCAAACCCTGTTCCTGGAGAGCTACCCTAATCTACCACACCTGATTTTAATGATTAGCTGGTTGATAAACTGAACCAAGTTAGTTAGAACTGGGGTTGGAGTGAAAACCTACAGGACGGTAGCTCTCCAGGAACAGGGTTTGAGTTAATAACCTACAGGACAGTAGCTCTCCAGGAACAGGGTTGGAGTTAAAACATACTGGGCGGTAGCTTTCCAGGAACAGGGTTGGAGTTAAAACATACTGGGCAGTAGCTTTCCAGGAACAGTGTTGGAGTTTAAACAAACTGGGCGGTAGCTCTCCAGGAACACGGTTGGAGTTAAAACATACTGGACGGTAGCTTTCCAGGAACAGGGTTGGAGTGCCCTGACTTAGAAGAAGAAAACAGACGAAACCTCAACTGTTTGTTTTCCATTTTTATTGTTATTTATTTTAACTTTTTCACTCATAAAAATATGTTCACTTAATTCAAAAGGAAATGGAAAGAGACAAACAATAACAACGAAAAGCTTCCCAAAATAAACAGGGAAAAATAGGAATAATATCGAAAATATTTCTGGATATTTTCAATGTTTTTTGTATTGTAAAACCAAGTATTCCAGTTAGGTTGTTTTGGTAGTTTTACACAGTTTAAACAGATTTAATTATAAGTGTTAAATATTGAGTCCTAAGTATTTGTTAAGATTGTATAAGATTTAGTGGTATACAGCATCCACCAACCCTTCCTGCCTTCCCAATCTTAATCTCCTGTGTTGTTTTCACTAAAATAATTGTCATCATGTACCCTGCCTGGTCACTAAGCATGTTAGAAGAGGGACCCCTTGCCTTGCCATGCCCATTTCATGAGGTTTAATACTTTTAAAGACATGCTCCGGAACTTTGGTGACTACTAAGTATATTTTTAACCTCCCGTTTTGGTCTGGATGTGTCAATGTGTAGTTCATACATGCATACTCTATTCGCAGAATTACTGTCTTACCTCAATTAGCCATTTAATCCCTAGTTTAAAATGAACTTTTTCTCGAAGCTGTGCTGCGCCATTTTCCCTACATTTTCCCCCACATGGGCCAGCCCCCTAGCAATTCAAGTTCTAGCCAATGAGCTTCAGCCCCTTGCAATTTGAGCGACAGCTAGCAAGATGCACACACAGCAGAGCGAGAAAGAGAAATTAAGTGTGGCACATATCTGCACATATGCGACGTAGTGCGCAGGGACCACTTTTGTCTCGTGAATGCTACTTTCGGAACTACTGGCTAAAAACTATACAAAAGTACTGGATAATCTCTTTAAATGTAGTGGACGGAGTAGGTGGGCATGTGTGTGTGCGCGGTGTGTATGTGTATGTATCTCTGTGTGTTTGTGTGTGTGTGTTTAGTGGGGGATACAGTACTACTGAAGCATGAGAGTGACTTGATGTCTGCCTCTCTGTGCACAAGACGGGACATGTTGCCACATTATCACTGAGCTGTTTTCCGACAGAGATCTTCATACTGTAGTAGGCACTGAGATCCTCATGAGGGCCGGCAGGTTAGCGGCAGACACATAAAAGTTACTTAGACTGTTTTCACATTCAGAGATTTGAATCTCAACACTGGTGTTTCAGCATATTCTAGTTTGGTGTACAGCTTTTTTCCAAATACAAGTCCTCAATGTCCCTTGTCCCAGACAGAGCCTATATAAAACCTTCAAACTATGCGCTACGCTTGGACTTTTCATAGTCTGCTTGGCTGCAAGTGAGCAAGACGTGGGACCCTCTTTTGCCAAAGACCGGTTAATGGTGCACAACAAAGCACCGTAGAGACTAATTCTGCCTGAGGGAAATCCACAAGCATCTATCTCTGAGGCTAGGCTAAGCTAGACTACGCTAGGCTAGCAAGTGCGTTCTTGTGAATTGCGGTTTATTGAAATAACTGTGTTCCCTCTTGGGGACATAAACAATAAATAAAGCCTTTGGAAAGTAAGTGTTTCTTTTTTCCCCTTCTTCTCTTTAACTGAGGCAGGCTCGGGGGATGTTTGAAGTTCGCTGCAGCACAGAAACAAATGTTAGGGTTTCAGCCAACTGCTTCCCTTTGTAATTCTTGTAATCTTGTTCATCAGTGAGTTTTGTGTAGGGGAGATGGGGTTGAGGGCCAGAGAATGGAGAGGGGATTTAGTTTCAAAGTCTGCCCAGACTTACAGCTACTTAGACTGTCTGACATTCGTAGGGTAAAGCCTTTGATTGACATCGCTGGTACAAACGAGTTTTAATCTTCAAAGATTTTAATCTGGGGTTTTGTCTGTCCGATAAATCACAAGCAGTTAGGGGGGGATGGAAGGGTGGTAACAGTCACGTATGTACAGAAAAACAACAACAGCAAGAGTATAAAAACATTTACAAACACAACAAAAAAATGACAACTTCACTAAGCAATAGAGCCTAAACAAAGCATGGTAAACGTCAGGCACCTTGCTTTTCAATTACTGAAAAAAGTTATCTTCATTTGGTGACTCTGATGTCATTCACAGCAAGCACCACTGGGGTAGTGCTGAGGTGCTACGTAGCAAAATAATTGCTTATTCTGTTTTTACATAGTTCAGTCATCACAAGGGGGGCACAGCAATACACCCCCATTTCAGTGCAGACCCCTTTTTAGAGTACACACAGCAGGGATTAGGTCACTTTGACCCTTGGCTCCAGCCGATGGTGTCTCTCTGCCTGGCCCAGCCTCGCTTGACCTTTGACCTGCTGTGGAGAGTGGGTGCGTTCAGTAGCGAGCCGCGGGGCACCAGTCCAGCAATGTGATTGCAAAAACAAAGCAGGAGGGGTGTAAATAAGAATAAAGGCACTTTTTTAAAAGCTCCCTTATTTTAATGTCTGCACAAACATTACATAGCATGGTAAGTGAAATATTTGTTCAGTTTCTCAATTGCTGACACGTGGCTGGCCGGTCCTCTCTCTTTCTCCTCCACTGTCACCAACAACTCAAGCTGGTGTCTAGTTCGTTAGGGAAGGAGTAGCTAGAGGAACATAGTCTTACCCTCTAGGTCTGAGTAGCAACAGAGATAGGCGTCAGAAATAAGAGGGCTTATGAGAGAGAGCCATGTTGTTGTTCGCCGTGCAATGATCCTGTATTAGCAGCACCTCGTACTCCAGGCCGCCATTTTGAACCACAGCCGGCTCCGGCTGCTTTTGGGACATTCCCCCTCCAATGTCCAAACCAGCCTTGACTCCCTCCAGCTCCAGCTGGGCTGGCTCACAGTCCAGATCCATTTGCCCCTTGGCCCGTTTCTTCCTTATGTAGCACACCACCCCCACGGCGGCTGCCACCAGGACTAGGAGCAGCAGGATGGCCAGAGCCGGCAGCAGCATGGTGGTCAGCCTCTTGTCCTCCACCTGCCTCCCCGTGGCAGTGTGCTGCTGGGCCGTTGTGTGGGCCTCCGTGCAGACGCTGTCCCCACCGTTGAGGTCGCCCAGTGGGCTGGCGCACACCGTGTAGGTGGAGTTGGGCCTCAGCCCCCTCAGGGTGTACTCCGGGTAGGAAGCGGGCACGCTGAGCTGCATGGGACGCCGGTCGGGCCCCGACAGGTTGCGGTAGGTTAGACGGATGCCGCGGATGTAGGGCCGTGCCTCGATGTAGCGGTGCAGGTCCAGCAGGATGGAGGAGCTGGTCACCAGGCGCGAGCTGATGTCGGGGGCGTCGGCGGTGACGGTTGCCGCGGAAATGTCGTTGTTGTTGTCATTGTGATCCTGATCGGGAGGAGGGTGGGGGTAATGGCGGTTCTCGCAATAGGTGCCGTAGAAGCCACGAGGGCAGGTGCACTCCAGGTGGCCTTGCCTGTCCAGCCGACAGGTGCCCCCGTTCAAGCAGGTCTGGGAGGGGCAGAAGAAGTCCACCTCTTGGTCTTGGCTGCTGCTGCTGGGAGAGGCACGGACGGGGGGCAGGGGCTGGCTGTCTGTCCCAGTTGAGGTGTCCTCCTCACTGGGCCCGGGTGCAGGGATGGCTGGGGTGGTGCTGGGCAGGGTGGTGACCGGAGGGGGCATGGTGGTGCTGGTTCTGACTGTGCTAGCGGTGACAGTAGTGGTGGTGGGGCAGCCAAACTCCCTGTGCTCCAGCCTCTCCAGCACCTTCCCAGCGTTGAGGGGAGGGAAGTGGCAGCGGGTCTCCTCCGTCCTGCCCAGTGTCACCCCCTGGTTCCTGAGCCACCCGGGAAACCAGGCCAGGGTGCACAGGCAGTTGAAGGGGTTCTCGGCCACCGTCAGCTTAGTCAGGTGAGGGAAAAGCTGTGCAAACCCGTCAGGCAAGCCCTGCAGACTCAAGTTGCTGATGTCCAGCTCCTGGAGCTCGCCCAAGTTCTGCAGGTCCTCCAGCGTCAGTGGGCCCATGGGGTTCCCGGCCAGGCTCAGGTGGATCAGGCCCCGGGCCTCCCTCAGCGCCAGGGGGAAGGAGCCTAACTGGTTGCCGGAGATGTCCAGCTCATGGAGGTTCCCCAGGCTGGCCATCAGGTCCTCGTCCAGGCTTTTGAGGCCCAGGCCGGCCAGCTTCAGAGACTCCAGGTTGGGCATCTGGAGGTCGGCTGACCCCGGGGATGGGAGGGTGTTGAAGCGGAGGTCCAGCAGCAGCAGCCTAGGCATGGCTAGGGCAGGGAGCGAGGTGAGCTGGTTGCCCTGCAGCTTGAGCTCCAGCAGCTGCTCCAGGCCTTGGAAGGCGGCGGGGTGAATAGTCTGGATGTGGTTGCTGTAGAGGTACAGCCTCTCCAGCAGGGCCATGCCCGCAAAGCTCTCCTCTGACAGATGGGTGATCTGGTTGGCTGAGAGGTCCAAGTTCCTCAGGGAAGTCAGAGGCTCAAACACCCGGTCGAGCAGTTTGGTGAGTTTGTTCTGACTCAGATCCAGCATCTCCAGGCTCTCCATCCCCACGAAGTCCTCCTCCGCCAGGGTCTCGATGCCGTTGGCGAAGAGGTAGAGGTTCTTGGTGGGTGCCGGGACACCGTGGGGCATGGTGGCGGAGCGGCGCTGGAAACAGAAGATGGATTCTGGGGTGGAGCAGGAGCAGTCCTGGGGACAGTCGCTGGCCAGAGTCCTGCCGGGTAGCCGAAGCAAGAGGAAAAGGAGGAAGGGTGTCACCGGAAGGAGGAAGAAGGTCTTCATGGTGCCGCTGGAGTCACTCTCTCTCCTCTTTCAGCCTGAAACGACAGATCAAGGACAAGGTCAGCTATAGAAAGAGATACTTGAAACACAGGGCCACTGAGTGATAGAATACACAGACAGAGTACGCACTGATAAAAACAGTCAAGTCATATCTTTGTCATGTCTTGCTGGAAACTGTGAAGTACACGTGAAAGAAAGGTAACCTAGACGTGTAGAACATAGAGACAACTTAGATGTGTAGAACATAGAGACAACCTAGAAATATAGGACATAGAGACAACCTAGAAATATAGGACATAGAGACAACCTAGGGGTGTAGGACATAGATAACCTAGAAATATAGGACATAGAGACAACCTAGAAGTAAAGGACATAGAGACAACCTAGAAATATAGGACATAGAGACAACCTAGATGTGTAGAACATAGAGACAACCTAGAAATATAGGACATAGAGACAACCTAGAGGTGTAGAACATAGAGACAACCTATAAATATAGGACATAGAGACAACCTAGAGGTGTAGAACATAGAGACAACCTAGAAGTATAGGACATAGAGGTGTAGAAGTGCTATATTGAGATATACAGCATTTCTGTACAATAACTACCCTTCAGATCTGTATAATGCTGCACAAATCTGTATAGATCTTTATGATGTATTAGTTTCAATTTTTTTAATGTGGTTATTACAATATGTGGGATTATTATCGTAATCTTGACTGGGCACACATGAAGGATCAAAGACGTGGTCACTTGACACAGGGCTCTTCAAACAATGGGCCGTGGTACGGCAGTGACCTTGAGTAATTTTCCACTAGACTCAGGGGAAAGAAAGTTCCCTTTGCTACTCTCCATCTATCTAATGTAGCCACACTCTGACCAAGGTGACTTGAACTTGATAGTATTGCATCAGACACGGAACAATGGATGTGGTTCATGGATGTTGTTTTCCTTTCTGAGGTGTTTTTCTAGAGCAGATGGTTAGTTACTGTTGTAGCAGGTTCAGTAGCTGCTTCATTAACATAAACCTTGCGAAAGGTCCTGGTAGTACTTGGTGCTGTGGACTGGTAAACACATTTATGTGTGTCTCTGTGTTCTCTCTCTCTCTGTCTCTCTCTCTCTCTCTCTGTCTGTGTGTCTGTCTCAGGGTCTGGACAGCCTACCCACTACCATTTACAGTTCTCCAGGCACTGTGGTTGAACGGGAAGCACATTTAACAATTTTCTCCATGTTTACGACAAACTCTTTAGCCTGTGAAACCATGTTACAGACACACGCACACACAAATTGTTCAGATTACGATGTCTGAGGAAGGCCAGGAAGACCGTCAAGAACTCCAGTCACCCGAGCCACGGACTGTTACCATCTGGCAAATGGTATCGGAGCATCAGGTCTCGGACCAGCAGGCTCCGAGACTGCTTCTACCACCAGGCCATCAGACTGTTGAACAACTAACCCTAGCTGTTTACCTGCTCAGACCTGCACCTTAGAGACTCTTTCACTGACTCTCCACACGTCCAACCCTTGCACACAACCACACACACACACACACACACACACACACAGTCAACACTGCTGTTCTATTTTATACTTTGATTCAACTGCGGACCAAGACACTACCCACTTTATATTTTTTAACACAGTTATACTTGATCATTGCACATTCATAATCTATACTGTATATCTTATTAGATCCGTTTTATTACTATGGATACTACCTTCCTCTGACTTATTATTTTCAATTCAACTTTTTTATTATTATTGATATCGATATTGTACTGCATTGTTGAGGGAGCTAGCGTGTTAGCATTTCACTGCACCTTTTATACCTACTGTTAACTGTGACGAATAACATTTGATTTGATGTGGAGGGTTGACAAGTTTCCCTCTCATTTCTCCAGTTTCATAACTGTACCAAGTCTCTGTTTTGTGACTGTAAGTACGTGATATACGATATAGTGCATGTGTGCATGCATCTGTGTGTGATTTAGCTTGCAGTGCTCTAAACTTGGGTCCTTATCGATATCCTTGAGCTGCTTTCCTGACCAAAACGCTCAGTATAAATAACCTAACATTCGAATGTTGTCATTACTCGAAACTACGGCCAACGCTCCTTACTAAACACGTCTGTGAAATACAGTGGAAACTCAGAGATGCTGAGAGAGGCGCTTTTGTATCCAAAGGGAGGATAGTGTCAGATGGGCATGTCAAGTAATTTACACCCCGGATTCACCTGAGACCCAGCCTCTTCAGGCCCGAGACAGAACACCTGTAAGATCACATACAGTGGGGAGAACAAGTATTTGATACTTTTTTATTTATTTTTTATTTCACCTTTATTTAACCAGGTAAGCCAGTTGAGAACAGGTTCTCATTTACAACTGCGACCTGGCCAAGATAAAGCAAAGTAGTGCAATAAAAACAACAGAGTTACATATGGGGTAAAAAAAAACATAAAGTCAGAAATACAACAGAAAATATATATACAGTGTGTGCAAATGTAGCAAGTTATGGAGGTAAGGCAATAAATAGGCTATAGTGCAGAATAATTACAATAGTATTAACACTGGAATGCTAGATGTGCAAGAGATTATGTGCAAATAGAGATACTGGGGTGCAAAAGAGCAAAATAAATAACAATATAGGGATGAGGTAGTTGGGTGGGCTAATTTCGGATGGGCTGTGTACAGGTTCAGTGATCGGTAAGGTGCTCTGACAACTGATGCTTAAAGTTATTGAGGGAGATAAGAGTCTCCAGCTTCAGAGATTTTTGCAATTCGTTCCAGTCATTGGCAGCAGAGAACTGGAAGGAATGGCGGCCAAAGGAGGTGTTGGCTTTGGGAATGACCAGTGAGATATACCTGCTGGAGCGCAGACTACGGGTGGGTGCTGCTATGGTGACCAATGAGCTAAGATAAGGCGGGGATTTACCTAGCAGTGATTTATAGATGGCCTGGAGCCAGTGGGTTTGACGACGAACATGTAGTGAGGACCAGCCAACAAGAGCGTACAGGTCACAGTGGTGGGTAGTGTATGGGGCTTTGGAGACAAAACGGATGGCACTGTGATAGACTACATCCAATTTGCTGAGTAGAGTGTTGGAGGCTATTTTGAAAATTACATCGCCGAAGTCAAGGATCGGTAGGATACACTGCCGATTTTGCAGGTTTTCCTACTTACAAAGCATGTAGAGGTCTGTAATTTCTATCATAGGTACACTTCAACTGTGAGAGACGGAATCTAAAACAAAAATTCAGAAAATCACATTGTATGATTTTTAAGTAATTCATTTGCATTGTATTGCATGACATAAGTATTTGATCACCTACCAACCAGTAAGAATTCCGGCTCTCACAGACCTGTTAGTTTTTCTTTAAGAAGCCCTCCTGTTCTCCACTCATTACCTGTATTAACTGCACCTGTTTGAACTCGTTACCTGTATAAAAGACACCTGTCCACACACTCAATCAAACAGACTCCAACCTCTCCACAATGGCCAAGACCAGAGAGCTGTGTAAGGACATCAGGGATAAAATTGTAGACCTGCACAAGGCTGGGATGGGCTACAGGACAATAGGCAAGCAGCTTGGTGAGAGGGCAACAACTGTTGGTGCAATTATTAGAAAATGTAAGAAGTTCAAGATGACGGTCAATCACCCTCGGTCTGGGGCTCCATGCAAGATCTCACCTCGTGGGGCATCAATGATCATGAGGAAGGTGAGGGATCAGCCCAGAACTACACGGCAGGACCTGGTCAATGACCTGAAGAGAGCTGGGACCACAGTCTCAAAGAAAACCATTAGTAACACACTACGCCGTCATGGATTAAAATCCTGAAGCGCACGCAAGGTCCCCCTGCTCAAGCCAGCGCATGTCCAGGCCCGTCTGAAATTTGCCAATGACCATCTGGATGATCCAGAGGAGGAATGGGAGAAGGTCATGTGGAGCAAAAATAGAGCATTTTGGTCTAAACTCCAGTCGCCGTGTTTGGAGGAAGAAGAAGGATGAGTACAACCCCAAGAACACCATCCCAACCGTGAAGCATGGAGGTGGAAACATCATTCTTTGGGGATGCTTTTCTGCAAAGGGGACAGGACGACTGCACCGTATTGAGGGGAGGATGGATGGGGCCATGTATCGCGAGATCTTGGCCAACAACCTCCTTCCCTCAGTGATGGGTCGTGGCTGGGTCTTCCAGCATGACAACTACCCGAAACACACAGCCAGGGCAACTAAGGAGTGGCTCCGTAAGAAGCATCTCAAGGTCCTGGAGTGGCCTAGCCAGTCTCCAGACCTGAACCCAATAGAAAATCTTTGGAGGGAGCTGAAAGTCCGTATTGCCCAGCGACAGCCCCGAAACCTGAAGGATCTGGAGAAGGTCTGTATGGAGGAGTGGGCCAAAATCCCTGCTGCAGTTTGTGCAAACCTGGTCAAGACCTACAGGAAACGTATGATCTCTGTAATTGCAAACAAAGGTTTCTGTACCAAACATTAAGTTCTGCTTTTCTGATGTATCAAATACTTATGTCATGCAATAAAATGCAAATTAATTACTTAAAAATCACACAATGTGATTTTCTGGATTTTTGTTTTAGATTCCGTCTCTCACAGTTGAAGTGTACCTATGATAAAAATTACAGACCTCTACATGCTTTGTAAGTAGGAAAACCTGCAAAATCGGCAGTGTATCAAATACTTGTTCTCCCCACTGTAACTTAGACTTGAGTTGAAAGAGAACGAGGGAAAGGAGGAGAGAAAAAGGAGGGAATGGATGGCAGATAAAGGGAAGACGAGCCGCTCAAGTGAGTCATTGAAGACGTTTATCATCCTTTGTTCTGATGGATTCATCGCACGGGTTAGTGGCCTTGAGGTAGAGCGAGAGTGAAAATCTTTTTTTTGCTATTTTTCCTCCTTCTGTCCTCCCCTTCTCTCTCTCTCTCTCTCGCTCTACCTCTCTCTTTCTCTCGCTCTACCTCTCTCTTTCTCTCCCTCCCTACCT